ACATATCTTTGTTCTTGCAAAGTAGTGTAAGTTATACATATATACATATATATATAAAAAACATGCATTCAGAAGGTAAAGAAATGAGAATCAATAAGACTGTATGCATTATATAAGCATTTATTAGATCTAGATCTGATATGATTTTTGAGCTAAATAGAATGAGGAGAATAAAGAATAATAAAGGAGATATACACAAATATGGACAAGGCATATTTCCTTCAATTGTCTTTGCAATCTCGTTTGCACACACACGATGAATATTATGAGCCAAGTCACTGGGGGAACATTAGAAACTACAAAGATAGGAAAAATGTAGGATTATAGAAGGCCTGGACTTCAGGAAAAAACAAACAAACAAACAAAAACAAAATAAATAAAACTTTCAAGAATCTAGCGAAGTACAAGTAGAAGGTACATATTTTAGAAGGGAGAGGAATGCTATGCCTGGCACTATATTGACACAGGAAAGATGAACACTTTATGCTCCATGGCCAGAATGTAGCCATCCCCAATTGTCTCATAGGCATTAAACCTCATCACCCTAATGGGTTTTCATGCTCCAGACGTGTTTGTGCTCCCCATAACTTTAGGTCCATGTACTCTACTTATGGAAGACAGTGTTTCTTAACTAATAGATTTTTATTCTAAAATTGTAAGATGTTGCAGAATGGTCTGCCAGTAACACTTGAGATACCCAGAAAAGGTATATAGAACAAGCTCCTTTGGTGGGCTTGCCCCCCTCCCCAGGTGATCTTTTGAGAAACATGGGTTTCATGCTATCTACTGTACTTTCAAGTTCTTGGTAAAGTAGAAGGCTTGTTTGTTCACAGTCCCCCATTTAATTGCAAGCAATTCATTTTTTTTTAAATTTGTTCTTGCAAAGTAGTGTAAGTTAGCAATTTCCTTTAAAATTGGTCTTATCTCCTTGGTAACAACCTTGTGATGTTGATGATGATGAAGGTAATGATTATTCTTAGCATTTTTCTTGTCCACTTCTCTCAAAGACCTCCACATCTCTTTCAAAAATTAGAAGAATTTAGAATATATTCATTAAAGTAGCTGCTAAGGCTGGAAGGAACTTTAAACATACTGCTTTGACACTGTAGGTGTTAAATATGACTTCTCTGAAATCATTACATACCTATCAATTAGAAAATTTTGCTAAAAATTAACATAGCATACTAAATGAATACTTTTTGGTAAAATTGCCCCTTAGAAAAAGCCTGAATTAAAGTGCAATTTGTTCCAATTGCACCAATCTCATTTGGAGCTGTTTGCCTACATCCATTTTCTGAATCACACCTGTCTCATTTGGAACTCAAAGTTCCCTTAAATGTTTGTTTTCTGACAAGGCGTGGTTTATTCATCTAAGGGTCTGGGTGCTAAAGTCATGACTATCTTGTCTTTTTTTTTGTCTGCTTTTAATTGTACAATATTAGATTTATAGAAGTCTATTGCAACAAAAAATCTGAATTCATATATTGTTATATATGTTCATATAAGTGATTATTTTTCCTGTGCTTGCTATGAGACATTTCAAAATACAAAAGGAAAATTTACAATTTTAAGTAACCTTTTAGCAAATGAACTATATTTATAGTTTCTAACACATTTCCTACACAGGATTTCACTAAATTTCTTGCAATCATTTGAGAATTTTTCTCACTTTATAAAGAAGAAATTGAAGCCTGAGAAAAGCTAACAGGTTTTCCAAAACAACAAAACAGACCATGTTTAACTGTGACATGTAACTAATACTCTAGCCATACATACATCTCTCTAAGAAGGCAGTATTTTTACAGGTACTTTTAATGGACTAAGTATGACCTGCCCATTCTGGTTTTGAATTTTAATTAACAAGGCAAACAATTCACCATCTTCCTAGAAAATCTATCTGCACCTGTTTCCCACTTTCTGGGACTTGGTGCTTGTGGTTTTTGTGGTAATCATTATTGTCATCATCATCTTTTTTATTGACTTAATGTTTTGAGCACAGCAGCAGCTACAGGAGTTTCTCAGGACTATACTGATATTCAGCATTATGTTAGGTGTGAGCATTGTCCTAGATTAAGGTTTATGAAAAGTAGGAGAACCAAGTTAAGAATTCAGGAAAACACTGGCAAGACAAAAACTACAAAGTGGGGATGGCTTAGTGGATAGAGTGTTGGCTAAGCAAGGGTGAAGACCTGAGTTTGAATCTCTAGAGCTGACGTGAAGCTGGATACAGTGTTAGCCCTCTGTAGTCTTAGTGCAGCACGATCAGAGGTGGGGACATGAGAATCCCCTAAAGTTCATGACATAATTAGCCCGGCATGCATTTGTGTAAGAGGCAGGGGCAAATAACAAAGAGATTCTGTTCCAGTGATAGTGGAAAGTGTGGAGAAACATCCATTGTTGTCCTTTGACCACCACACCGGCACTACAAGAGGCACATACCCACACTTATGTACATGAACATGCACACAAATCACACACACACACATACAGACACAGACACAGACACACACACACACACACACACACACACACACGGTGAATACTATGAGCCAAGGCACTGGGGGAACATTAGAAACTACAAAGATAGGAAAAATGTAGGATTATAGAAGGCCTGGACTTCAGGAAAAAACAAACAAACAAAACCCAAATAAATAAAACTTTCAAGAATCTAACCAAGTACAAGTAGAAGGTACATATTTTAGAAGGGAGAAGAATGCTATGCGTGGCACTATATTGACACAGGAAAGATGAACAAACCAGATCCTGCCAGTTATAAGGTTGATGAGTTAGTGAGGGTAAGACACAAGACAGCCGAGTCTCTGGGACTCTAGGCCAAGGTTTCAGATTCTATAGAGTTACTGGGGATGACCCATATCGTGCTCCGTTTGCATCAATAAGTTTTTCAAATAACATCCTTTTCTAAGACTCAGAAAGCATGACAGATGAGGAGGCAGAACGAGTGGAAGAACTGAAGATGTGCAATAAGAATGGTATCATCTGAATACGACAGAAGCTTTGCGTGCATGGACTCCTTGTTGATGTGGGAGTGTCATATATCAATCTGTTGATTTCATTGGCTGAGCAATAAAGAAACTGCTGGCCCTGATAGGTTAAAAGATAGGTGGGCGGAATAAACAGGATAGGATGCTGGGCGGAAGAGGAAGTGAGGTCAGACTCTGATCTGCTCCCAAAGAGACAGGACAGATCTGCACTCTGGAGCAGAGACACCATGATGGATGGAGGCTAGAATCTTCCCGGTAAGCGCACCTTGGGGTGCTTACACAGATGATTAGAAATGGGCTAAATTAATATGTGAGAATTAGCCTAGAAGAGGCTAGATAGAAATGGGTCAAGCAGTTAAATGAATACAGTTTGTGTGTTGTTATTTCGGGCATGAGCTAGCCAAGCGGCCGGCGTGTTGGGGACGCAGCCCCGCTGCTCATATTCCAACACCTTGTGGTTGTGGCTAATTACTCAGCATGTGCCCAGGATTGAGCCAGTCAGCATTGCATTATGGGTGAGGGAGAGGTCCATGAGGCTTGTTCCACAAGGGTGTCACCTTCTTCACTGTTGTAGCCACAGATAAGTAGCCCTTGTTCCACCTCATAGCTCCTCATCCACACACGGGCAATAACTCAGGTGAAACTTTAATTGGACCACAAGCAAAAGGAGGATATGAGGATAGGTTGAGGCTCCTTGAGAAGAAGGCTGGCTCTAGGAGAGCGAGTGGGGATGAAGTAGGGGACTGGGTGACGAGAATGCTGAAGTTCATTGTATAAATATATAAAAACATTACATTAAAGTATATTCATTTGTTTGCTTGTTTTTGCATTTATATGTGTGGGCATGTATATATGTGTACTATAATGTAAATCAGCAGATGGTGTATAGGGTCAATTCTTGCTTCTACCATGTAGGTTCAAAGAATCAAACTCCAGCCCGCAGGCTTGGCAGTGAGCACCTCTACCCTCTGAGCCATCTTTCTAGGGCTTTGTTCATTTGTTTGTTGAAACAATCTATGATAATTATTTTATCTATATCTTTTTAAAGATATAAAATGATTGTTGGTATATTTAGGATCTATATCTAATATCTTGATATGTGCTTTTACTGGATATTCTGAATATTTGATCTCCCCTGTATTAAATACCTTCAATATTTAATTTCCTTTATTTTGAAAATAATGGGAAATGATCCACTTAGAAATTATTCTAGCAATAGCATCTGGAGTGACTAAATAATAAATGTGGTTAATAACTTACTATAGGATCCCAGCAGGGCCACCAAAAAAATAGTAATTAAGTACATTACATCACAACTTACGAAGAGTAAAAACTAACAAGTGGATGAAACTTGTTAAAATAGAGATACTAAAAGACAAATGTATATAAATAATCTCAAAGTATCATTTTCTAAAAAAACGTTAATTGTAAGTGAAGATTATTCCCAAATAAGATGTTCAATTCACTAGAAAAGTTTTTCATCTCAATTTTTCCATTAGCCCAGTTTCATAGCCTCAAATATACAAAAGGCAAGGATCAGCAAGTTGTAAATAGGAAGAAATAGGTTTATTCTCATAAGGTATAGTTTCAGCACAGCTCTTAATAATTCAGAGAGAAAATAATTGTAATGAGAATAAAAAGAAGTATTTAAATAATGTTATATATTTATAATTTAATACACATTTGAAACATAAATATATACTCTATGACAAGGAAGGTAAATTTATAACTCTTACATATGACCAAGAAGGTATATGCAAATTAAGCAGTGATACATACAAATACACACACAGAGGAAAGCAGTGATGTGTAGATGATAATAGCATGCATTCCCAGGTCTAAGGAGGTTCTGTACACTCATTGGGACTAAGAGATATGTGTAAGAATGTTCAAAGTAGCTGTGCCCAATGGCATCAAAATGCAGACCCAAGTGTGGGTCAGTAGCAGTTTGGTTAACTAACTTGTGATACAAACATGTAACAAAACACTGTATAACAAAGAAAAGGAACAGAATGCAATCACACTCACAAAATGAGATTACACTAATGAATAATGTTATAAAAATGAAAACACATAGACACAAACATGTAAAAGGTCTATTTCCTTAAAACCCAAAGGCAAGCACCAGTACAATAAGCTGTTTAGAAGTTACAGAGTTGGGTCAGAAAAGAGTTGAATGAAAAGGCAAGACAGTGGTTTGTTGGAGCCCACGGATGTGGATTCATTCCACCTTGACTAAAAGTCAGAGAGTTCACGCTATTCTTGCTTCTTGAAGGTTATTGTTAGGAGGTTTGACCCTGGGTGTGGCTACTAACAACGCATTTTGATCTAAGGTGTGGTTACTTGATGCTTTGGGTGTTTGAGAAGGTGAACACTTCGTTCCTTGCACTTTAGTATAGAGGTCTTTTGTCTTTCTCCTCCTTCTCTTTGGATTGGGGTATATAAAGCTAATGAAAATAAATATGGGCAGATTCAGTATTCATTGGGTTACCATCCCAACTCTATTCTGTGTCTCTGTTTATTACTTTTGTATTTCTGTTTTTCTGCCTAATATTTCTAAACCACATGCCCCTACCGTAGAACGTATGAACCCATCAAGGATGGACCCCGAGAGTGGTTCACTGAAAAGAGCTAAGGTTGGAAGGTGATGATGAGACGTAGCAGCTGCATACCTTCACACTCCTCTCTGTGTACTGATGTCATGAGTAATACTTTAGTGTTCCTGTAAAGCCACACAATTAGGTGTCATAAATTTTTTTTGATGTGGGTAACATCGACATTTAAAATTTCTTGAAAACAAAAATGACAAGAGAAGAGTTTGAAATCATTCTGTGTCAGACAAAGAGATAAGAAAAAAAAAAAAGAAAGACGGGCAAGAAAGAACACCTTGTTGTTTCAAGGTAAGGTCAGACAAAAAGGATCCCAAGGGCAGTTAAGGAGAATGAGATTATAATGAAGCTCCAGTTCCTCGACTTTCACAAGACCTTTGAGAAGGTTGATACTGTTTTCTGATTAGATAGTGTACTTTCGTGAAATCAAAGAATGCTTAGCACAAAAAGAAAATAAAAGCCAACTGGGTAGAACAGAATCTATGCAGCAGGCTGTTCACCTTTCTAGATTTTATTTGTCCACTGTAAAAGGATTGTAATACTGACCCTATTGTGATTTAGAGAAAATAATAAGCAGATAGGTTGAAGTTGGAAAGTCAACTGGCTATTTGGACTTTGTGTTTTCTTTCATGACTTTGTAAAGTACTTCCAAGAATTATATTTCACTCATTAAAACTAAAACCAGTAGTATCACATAGTAAAAACAAAACAAAAAACATTTCAAACAACAAAAAATTATTACAGTTTTGGTTTTTCCAGGAAATAGAAAATCTGGCCATGCTGGACCTCACTGTGGACCAGCACATGGTAGCACATTTCTTGTCAACACCATCACAGCCTCTCATATTGTTTTATCTGCCCGTTGCCTTCCTCCTTAACATTCTCTTGACATTTATGCTTCTGCATTGGCAACCTAGGTCAGACCTGAAATGAATCTAAGTATTGTCTCACTTCTTTCATGGTTTTGAAGAATTTCTGACTATTATCTCTTAACTTCCTATTTCTTTCAGAAAAAAAAAATCCCCTAGAAATCCCTTTAATAATGATAATTTCTGAAAGCCGTGCCTTTTTACAGTATGACAGTGATTATCATATAAACGTTGCACTTGTATCATGTTACCAATCATGCCGCTTAAACAGTAGAGGAGCAGACAGGAAATGCAACTACAGGTGCTGCTTACCATGTGGGAGATGGTTAAGGAAGCCTGCTGCCAGGTGTCCATAACTATCTTCTCATCTACCTCAAAGTTAGATTCCAAGCCTTCTAATGTGGGATCGATCTTGCCCTTCAGTAATGCTTTCAACTTTGGTTTGATGGTAACATTTTCCGGAGAAGCGGATATTCGAGGAACTAGAGGAATTCTTTGGGGAAAGAAAAGCAAACCAAAGAAACATAAGGGTTTCATTTAACAGAGTTCTATTTTTGTGACAGTGTTAGTTTGTGCCTTTTTTTCTTTGTTGTATTGCTTTAATTCAAGTTTCCAAAGTTTTCCTAGAAGAATTATTTTGAAAGGCTGTGATTGGAAAATGCTGAATTAATCACATTTATGTGGTCTACAAAATCTTGCTAATAATAGAAAACTCACAGCAAGTAACAAGTCATTTTTTAGATTTAGTTCTCAATAATTAAAAGAGGTAGACTATATAACAGTGATTGTGGAAAAAGACCCCCCACAAATGTCATTTTTCGTGTCATATTTCCAGGGCACATGCTTCTGATGAGGGTAAATGAGTAAGCTTAACGGAACTTATTCAAGATGGTCAGTATCACCTGGGCATCCTGACATCAAAGTGGGACTAATGCAAATCTGACTGGGGTTGTTAAACAGAGGTGATCATGCTTCTGGGTTGCCAAGGTGAAGCAGCTTCAGAAGCCCTCCCCTTTCTTACTTATGGGTAGTGGTGTTTTCTCTTCATCAACTGCTGTGGTCAAACACAAGAGTAAAGCTCTTTCTCCACTTTGTCTTAGTAGTACTCCTTCCCCAAGTGGAGATATTAGAACAATTTCTGAGAATTACTATCATTGGTTAGTCCAAGCATGAAGAAAGACCTAGGGTACAATGTTTATTGTAATTGGGGCCATCCTCTGGTGACAAAATTTTGTCATCTTAAGGTTGGAGAAGGAATTGAAAAGAGTAACTCCAAAAATAACCTGTTTGAAATTTAACAATAGATTCAGGATCAACAGCAAGAATAAATAGCATTTGTTTTTATAGAATCAGGAATCTTGGGTCTAGATCATGGATTTAGAAAGATAATTGTGGACTCTGGAAAACAACTAACTTATTCTTGATTGGAAACATCACCTGAGATTTTTTGAACTTACACTTTCATAGTATGTTGGGGTTTGAATGAGAATGCCCCCATAGGTTCTTATATTTGAATGCTTAATCCTCAGTTGGTAAACTGTTTGGGGAAGAATTGGGAGTTGTGGCCTGGGTTGTTGTAGTAGGTATGGCTTTGTTGGAAGAGCTGTGTCACTGGAGGTGGGTTTTGAGGTTTCAAAAACCCATGCCAGGCCTAGTGTTTCTCTTGCTGCCTGCTTCCTGCAGATCAGGGTGTAAATTTCCCAGCTATTGCTGCAGTGCCAGGCCTGTGTGCTTCCCAACAGTATGATCATGAACTAACCCTCTAAAACTGTAATCAAATGTCCAATTAGATGCTTTCTTTGATAAGAGTTGCTTTGGCCACAGAATAGCCTCACAGCAGTAGAGCAATCAGTATGACCCAGTACTTGGAATTCTGATAATCTAGCATAACTATTAAAGCAATGCATTGAAAATATACTCACATATTGAATTACAACTTAATAACCAATTAATGCTAAATCAAAGCCATTCAAGTTCCATTAAGTTTGTGTGAAGTACGTGTGTGACCATCTCTAGACACTTCAAACAGCACAAGACTTTGCTTTGCAGGGCAGCCGTCACGGCATCACTTAGAGAAGAACTTTGGGTTTATGACCCACTAGTTTAACCAGGATCATCTCTCTGTATTGGCACTGGTTTGAAATTAGCCACTGGAGTTTGGAGGTCTACTGGGTGTCACACAGCTGAAGACAATGACTGTCCCTCCTCCAGTATCCATCAGTTGCCAATAGTTCAGCAGAAAGATAAGATGTTAGAAACTCTCATCTTGCTCATGATTGGCTGTTTACAAGCCCATTACAGGCAGCTGCAGCTGCAGCTCCTGTGGAGTTTTGCATGCAACAACTTCTTATATATATTCTAATGGTGATTTTCTTGCAGCCTCTCCCTCTACCACTTAGATCTTCTCTCTCTTGTGTCTCTTGTAAGAATGCCTTGTACGTTCTTTCCACTCAGTTTTTCTGTCGTATTCATGAGCCTTAGATGACGTGGTATAAATGTCATATTTGGATTGAGTGCTCGTTTATTCTAAGCATCTTGAGTAGACAAGAGTATCTGTACTCACTGGGAGGAGGGAAGAGTAACTTGTGTGAAGGAGATAAGAGAGGTGGAACATGATGCTGATCAGAACTACAAGCATGTGAAATTGTCTACAAACAAATTGAATGAATGCGAACAGAAAAGGGATATGAAAATTAAAATAACTCCATATTAAAACTATAGGTAATTGATTAAAATAGCCTTAGAATTCACTTACTGGGAAGAAAAGTTCCTATACTATAGGTAGTTCTGGCCCTTTTGGGAGAGATGAAGTTGGGTATGCTACTTGAATTTCTGAGCCTCGCTTTATCATGAATAATTGTTTATCAACTAATACAACTATTATTTTTGAAAAGGCATGGCTACCATTATTATTGCTATAGGGTTGTGGGAAAGATGAAGTAGAAAAACTAAGTAACACTGCTGAACACTGTGCTTGTTGTTGTCTGTATGTTGTTGACTGGGGTTAATTGGTTGGTGAGCTGGTTGCAGCATTGACTGACTATCTCAACGGTTTTGCCACAGCAGTGAAGTTGAGATTGGTACAAAGCTGTTCTGTAAAAACCTAGAACTGTCTGTTCTTCTGTGGCCTTATTGTACTAACCAGAATGAATAGCTTCCCCATTATGCCTGGTTTGCTATTATGTGCCAAGAACAGAATGCACTGCCACCCTCGACACTGAAACTTGGTGTCTTCTGGTGATGCTGATGGTTCCTATTGCCTCTGGTATTCATTATTGTTCTATTTTCCATGTTTTCTTAGCAGTTTCTTCAATGTTTTTCTTCTCTTTGGGACAGGAAGAGGGTGCACGCTCACCCTTTGGGGGTTCTTGTGTATCTATGGCCTTTTGTAAATACACTAGATGAAAGAACATAAGAGTGCAAAAGTGGACCCTGGATCATCACATAACCCATGTAGCAATGCCATATCAAATTATTTTTGGAACAGGGAGGGATAAACAAACAAAGTGGGGCATGAACTACTTACAACTAAAATATTGCATATAAACAAGAGTAAACTATTATATATACTCTCCAAAATATATAACAAAAGAGGCTACTCTTTTGTAAGTGTTTGAGGACTGGATTTTAGGTGTTTTCATTTCCAGACATAATTCCACATATTTTGCAGATCCTATTTCCTGCAATTTTCACAACAACCTTGCTTTTATAAGAATGGAACTTGAGGCTTACATTGAGATGTAGTGAGTTATCCTAACCCACTTATGTACAGTTCATACAGTGAGTAAGGGACAGACTCAGGATTTACTATGTTTTGTTCATGCAACTCTTCCACCTAGATTGACTGAGCAAACATCTAGGCAAAGAGGTTTCCTTTAAATATAAAAGGCATAACTCATGTGTTTGGAGATGTAAACACAACCTTCAATTTCTGCACATCATCTTGTAAATCTAGCTTCTGCTTATACTTCTATCTTCATTTCAAACTTTTTCTCTTTTTTCATGCTTTGCTTAAGGATGACCAGGAAATACTATTTTAAGTTTCCCTACATTTCAAACTTATTTTCAAAGAACACATTTCCTCCTAAATGATTTTGAATTCTGTTTTCAAGTGTTTTATCTTAAGTCATATAAAATTAAGGAAAACTAGATCTTAGTGTGTAATGGCTGGAAACCACACCATGGGGATCACTCCCATTCCCTTGACTCACCCTTTCATGATGACATCCACTCCATCACTTACAGCCTTGCAGAATCTGAGACATTGTCCTTCCTCCCCCAAACTCACCTATTATATCTATAAAAAATTTACTACGTTTTTACTGCAGGTGATTTATTTGGCTAAAAATGTAATTTGCCTTTATTCTACTACTAAGTTCTTTTTTCTGTTCGCAACAATCTGATGTTAGATTGTTAATAGCTTTTATTCTTGTGAGGTCATGATCATATACTATTAGACTTTTACCATTTCTCAATTTCCTTACCTGTAAAAGAAGAATGACAATCCTTTCCATTTTAATTTACATAATTTCTCTCTCTCTGCTCTCTCTTTCTCTCTTAAATACACACACACACACTCACACACATACACACACACATTCCCCACCACATATACACACCACACACATGCTCTGGTTCTTCTAAGTTCCTAATCCAGCACCAGAGGTCTTTGGAGCTGGATGTATTTCTGAATACAGAAGTGACATACTGTCTAATATCCACAGCAGAATCCTGCTGAAAACAAATTAGAAAGCACAATATCTCTCCAAACAAAGGAGTAAATATTCACCAGTAATAAGATAAATATTCATATCATGCCAAGTTAAAGTGACATCAAACTTAGAAAAAAAAGTTCATCTTTTTGGAACAATTTGGTGTTTCCCTTAATAGGAGCAGGATTTATAATTTAAAAGCCACAATTCTGTATGTTCAAAGTAATTACAGTGTAAAACAATGCTCTGCCTTACCTAAGTTGGTTTTCTGAAATGTCTCTACTATCGACCTGAATCAATGGGATCCGAGTAAATTTCTTACTGTCTTCTAGTGGGATTTTGGATTCCATTGCTCTGTAATAATCTTGGAGGAGTCTTTTGGTGTCTTGGAAACGGTTCACTTCTGCCTTTAATACAGAAAGTAGATATCAATACCCAACTAAGAACACATCTGTATGTTTTTCTGTGATATGTATGCATAATGTAAATAAAAATTTTAAAACATGTTGGTTGAAAGTAATTCACTAGAAATGAAGAAAGAGCCTTGCTTATTTCTGTCACTAAAGTTTTCGTAATTATTTAAGAAAGCAAATGACTTTGTATTCTCTTTACTGAGGGCGATACCATTTAACCAGATGACAGTTATATAGCTTTTGATGATTACTACTAGAAATTCTTCAATCAATCACCGAAGTGGCTTCTTTGTCCTAGCAAGAACTCAGTTGCCTTGGGGTACCATAGACGCTATAAGTACAAAAACAGAATGAAACCAACACTAGGTTCTTTCCCTCTGGTACAATACAAACTATTTGTGGAAACAAGACAAACAAGAGCACAAAGTGGAACAATAATTCTCTCAGTACAGTTTCCTGTCTGGCTTAATGTGAACAGGATAGACATAACTCACAGCTTCTCTAGACCTCTCTGCTCGACTCCTCTGCTGGAGCTGCTAGGAGAGACCTTGAAGGAAGTGGAGCAATTCAGATGGGTTGGTTGTGAAACAATTAGTAATTGTGCACACGTGCGATCTCCCTGCTGGTGTAGGCTTGCCCTCGTGGCGCACATGCACTGGGCACGTGTGCTCTGAGGCCCTACACAGGTTTAAAGCTACAAATGTAGATCCTGGAAATTCAACTGATTCTCTCCCTTTTAAATCATATGGTATGTATGCTCTTCCCTTTGGTGAGGTATGTATTACCCCCAGACTTTCCTTTGTTGGTGGGGTTGTGTAAGCAAGTATCTGAAGCCATAAGTTATGAGCCTTTTATGCAAAAGGTAATAAATAATATCTAGTTGATTGAAGGGAGGTTTTTTTTTTCTTGCTCTCTCATTTTTTAAAAGAACAAAAGCAATCTGACCCATCCCACCCATCCCCACCCTTGCTGAGTGTAGCTTAAGGGCATGAATAAAGGGGTTCCCTATCACTTGGGGGGCTGCTCTTTTCTAAAGAGAAACAGAAGGAGCAGTGAATCTGGGAAGAAGGGAGGTAGTGAGAAGGAATGGAGGGGGAATGTGAGGAGGGGAGGCTGCAGTCTGGATTTTTGTATGAAAAAGAAAAAAAAACTGTTTCTGAGCTATCCAGAAATAGAGTTGCAGTACCATATTCACAGCTGACAACGAAGGGATGCTGACTTTTTCATAGTAGTATGTAATAAAAAATAACCAGTGCAATAAGTTTGTTTTATAGAGAAAATGATTAGACAGATTGTTTCCAGTTTTTACAGCATTAAACTCTTCTAGCTAAACAACCCAAACAAGAGAAAAATTCATCCCCTTACTTTGAGTCTATATTATAAAATAAAACTAACATTTATATATTATTTTAAATTATAGGATGTTTCACATTTGAGCCCAGTGCTTTGAAATGGCCAGGAAACCTATGATTTTTTTTAAAATCATTGAGTTAAAATATCCATACACAGAATAATCCCATAGTTTAAAGAAAATTATTGGTGTCATGTTTCCGTTTGGTAAAACTGCAGGGAAAATTGTTTGACTAAACTATATTCGTGGAAACTCACACAATATCATGCTTATAATGAATAAGATACAAATATGTACTTAGTAGGTACACACTGAATATTGACAGTTAACTTTGAAAAAATGAAGAACAGTGTGGGGGAGTGGTTACAAAAAACAATTAGCCATTGAATCAGTAAACTATAGTTTTGGGCTAATAGAGTAAGAAACCTGGAAAGTATTTCTTCTTTAGATTAGAGCACTGAACTCTTCTTTAATCACTGGGTTCGGGAGAAAATAATTTACAGAGTAGGATTTGAAACTGTACTGGGATCTTTCCACAAGACTTACATTATTACAGTAATTGTTTTGTAGAAAATATTGACTCATTTTTTAAAAGGAACAATTTGATTCAAATATAAGCAAATTTGAATAGGATGTGACATCATATTCAGGATTTTCCTCTAAGAAAACTAATGCTGGTTCCGCTCACATTTATAACGAGTAGATAACCCTCTGCTCTGTGACTTCTTTGTCGCTGGAGTTTCAGGCTTTGCTTTTCCTTTTGTGTGGCACTCTGCATTGAACCTAAGGCCTCCAGCATTCTAAACAAGTACTTTTACCTCATCGTTGCCCCATGTCCCCAGTCTTTTGATTTATTTATTTTTTGAGGCGGGATTTTATTACATTTCTGAGACTAACCACAAACTCCCAGTTGCCTGTAGGCGCTGATCTTGTCCTCCTCCTCCCTCAGTCTCTTGGGTAGGTGTGACTTACAGGTTTGTGGAGCCAGCGGCAGCTTAGCAACGCTTTTCTAAACTTCACCGTGTGGACAGCTTGTTACAAAGGCTGTGCATGGATATCTTGTTGGAATGAATGAGCAAAAACTTTCCAAGGTCAAGCTGGTTTAGAAATTCAACCTTAATGCACCAAAACGATTTCTTTACCCAGGGAGTATCTTAGTTCCTAACTATGCCAGCAGACTTGTCAATCTCCCGGGGTGGGGCAGATAGGTTGCTTTATGTAGCACTTTCCAAAGTCACTTATGTAATTACACCATTTTCTGGATCAGTTTGGAAGGCAATTTTCCAAGGAACCCATTTTGGGAAGCAATTATTTAGCTGTTTGTGGTGAGCCAGAACATGCAACTGAAGGTTTTCTCCAGACTTGTTACTTTTGTGCTTGACAAACATTAAGGCTCCTAATTTTGAGTGTCTTGGACAATATACGAGCTGCCTCAACTGTCTAGTATTTGATGGGTAGTCCCATCATCATGTTTTTCTCCGTGTACTGAGATGAAAGCTACTTTTGAGCATGTCCCCCTTTGGGTTTTACAGGGTGTAAAAGCAGTGCTCTACCTGTGAAGCCAAACAACTTGGACAATGTTGTTGACATAGCAGTATTCCAGAAGGAGTACTGACTCTGCAGCCATGGTCGGTCGCAATTCCTGCTCCTTCTTTCACTTACTGGATGCAACAGGTGGGCAAGAGCTCCCCACCAGCTTGCTTCAGTTTCCTTATCTACGAGCTGCGGATGACTGCAGAACCCCCAGCACCATGCTGCTGTGATCGTTTGCTAGAGTTCTGCTGGAAATTTCTGGCAGTTGTGCCCAGCCTGTATTCTGTTGTTCTGTTTTATTTTGTCTGATGTGGGCAATGGCTCAATGTCTCAGGATAAGAACCTCAGATCTGTAGATTAATGAACTGTTAGAGTCTTACCTATTCCACAGGAGTCATTTATGGCTCTGACTCATGAGAGTCTGCTGTGCCTTCCCTTTTGGATCATAGTTACTTTTTCCAGAAGTGTTTGGTAAAGCCTGTTTATAATATTGTCTCTCTACTTGTTCAGACTGATTCCCCAAGTTTCTGCTCAGATGAGTTTAGGCTAGTTGGGTACTTTACTTAATCCTTTGTGTAAACTATGCGTGATGGAGCTAAGTGTACTCCTTAATACGCTTAATAATATGCTTAGCAATGTCTAAGCATTGTCCTCTGGTGGCAACTCTTTTAAATCTATCTTATCTTCATAATCCAGCTTTATAATATGCCTTCATAGTTCTCCTTGTTCTGATATCCTGATTTCTTTAAACCTCCCACTTAGAGATAATAGTTCTTCATTCATAGGGGATACACTTCAAATCCTTTATTTAATACCTGACTAATGCCTTTGTTTCTATGGATTCATATCTATTTGAGAAAGTCGGAATCAAATACATTGAGGATTAATAATAGAATATGATAACAACTACTATAATAAAAGTGATATGAACATAGATTCTCTTAAAGAATCTGTTGTGCTATATTTTATTTTTTGGTATCAATATAAGATGTCTACAGTGACCATGTCACAAAAACAACATGAAGTGAATCTTTTGGAATCCTGTCAGCATTAGACTCCAATATAAGAGCTACTTGAACAAAAAACTTTTGAAGACATAGTAGAAGAACTGATAACCTGGAGAGCAAATAATAAAGATAGAGAAGATACAGTGTTGATGCAATCAAAAAGGGAATTTTTTCATTCCAAGTCAGATGAAACAGAATAAATTGGTACAAAATAGAACATCAAAAGATTTACCTCATCATGGCTGACACAAAGCACCGTTTTGAGCAACAGAATATGAGAGACAATTTATTCTTAGCCAGGTGAGAGTGGATAGTGAGGGTACACCATGGATTTAAGTTGCTATAAACCACGTTTCAGTGTGGAAGAAGTTTCAGAAGATCTAAGACAGTTAAAAATCAATTCATCAATCAAACTGATGAGAACATCAGTAGGTGAGTTGTATTTTAACAGAAAAGCAAAACAACACCCCCACACCTGTGGTCAAGTAAATGTAGTTGAAACCACAGAAAGGGAAATAGTGAGGTGGGGCTGCTATAATTCCTGAGGCTTCCTGTTAGTCAGGTTTCTGTTGACTTCTCAGACACGCCTTTGGAGCAGGGACTGTCCCTTTGAGTGCTGGAACTACCAGAGTGGATGGGTCATTGTTGGAAAGAGATGTGCTGAACTCCTACTTTATCGAAGTTGTAGATATAAGTGGAGGTATTTTCTCATCTCCAAAAGTACCTTCTAAGTTAATCAGTTATAGATGAGAAGTAGTCCCCGTCCATTCTCCCTCTTAACTCTCCTTCTGTCAACAAAAATTAAGCATAGCTCGATCAAGATAAAGTCGATAGTCCCCCAAACATGAATAATTTTAGACAGGCTTCTCCCACATTCTCGGGCCCTGGCCTCCATCAGTACTATAGGAAACTAGTCCATTATAAACCTCTTTCTCTGTGTTTTTGAAATATACATTTTAAGACAGGCCTTTTTTTTTTTTTATCAGTTTTGTACCCTAGGAATGCCTTCCCTCAAGATCTGAAAACTGTGCCTGAAATACAGTTCTTTCTCAAGGAAGACAGCATTTTGAGGCTCCTATATGAGAGAAGGAAAGTAACTTCTGTGGATGTCTTCAGTTGTAAATGTGTCTGTGTTAACAAACACAAAAGGGGCTGGAGATGTGGCTCAGGATTAGGAGAGTGTACCACTCTTTTAGAGGGCAATTGTTCCCACCATTTACATCAGGTGGCTCACAATTACCAAAACCCTCACTCTGTGGGATCCAAAGATTTCTTCCTGTCTACACAGGCAATGTGGTGGTGTCCAAAGCCACCCTCACAGATATACATATAATTTAAAGCTTAGACATTGTAAAAATAAAGACAGCTGATCTCACCCATCATCCTGCCTCCACCCTTGATCCCTCAAATCCCATCTATAGGCACTTTGTTTTGAGGAATTTGTCAACTAAAGGCTGGTCTGCACTTTTTCTCATGGTCACAGCAGTGGTTCCCATGGTTGCAACGTATCCCTGAAATTACGACAGGGCAGCTTTCTTGGGCCACTCTTAAGTGGGAGTCTGATCAACTAAACATCCCAGTTGCAGACAGAGTCCCTGCAATCTCGCTGAACATGCATAGGGAAGCAGAAATGGCGAGTAGCTGCTAGCAATGCACTGTCTGCATGGTTGCTTGGCTGGGAGAAAAACAATGTTGTTAGCTAATATTCTTGGTGAGCCAGAATGCATTACAATCATACAGCACAGGGTGTTAGAAGCAACATTGCCATTCCCGAAGGAGTTGTTCCACGAGGAATACGGCTACTGAGTCTGGCTGCTCCTACCTGCATCAGGGAAAAGAAGTGATTCATTGTTATTCCGACAGAGTCCTGGAGCCAGCTCTCATTAATGATATCAACCCTCTCCTGCTCTGCCTCCTCCTTCCTGGCATCGCAGATGTCCCACAGGCGGTCTCGTAGATCCTGAGTGGAAAGAGAAACAGCATGAGTGTGCTTGAAAGTCGTATCTTGTGCAGCTTCAGTGCCCTGCATCTGAGATCTTTGTTTCCAGAGATGTACCTAAAGGAGTCATGTCTAACATGTTCATGTGTTACATTCACTTATTCAGATGGCATTCACATCTCTTTTTATCTTGGATCATATGCCCACAGTTATTCATATATCCATTCCTATCACATTAACATCATGGGTAAGTATTTCTGTATTAGCTTTTTGTTAATAATCTTGTACAGTTGAAAACCACTTCATGTGAGTTTAAAAAACCTGTGTATTGTTGATGGAAAAAATGCATGATTGCATTTGAACCAAGGCCATTAGTTTGCTAACTATCAGAGGTAGGGGATTATTTACCAGAAAAATGTTTGTGTTTAATGGGATACTAAACAATTCAACAGCATATCAGACTAAGGACAATAAAAAAGCATGTGAGTAGAACAGTATATAACATGATATTTATACATAGTAATTGGCCTATAGTATAGGCATTCAATGATATTTCATTTGTTTTATAATTTATATCTAGGAATACAAAAATTATGATGTTAAAATTATAGTGGTTTTGTGTACTATATTCTTCTTAAACCTGTTGTTGACATATTTGCATTACCCTTTGATGCCTGGGAACATTAGGTAGCTTATTACCTTTATTTTTGTAAACGGACACTGGGAATAGGGAAGGCATTTTCCTTGGGTGAGTTAACAGTCAAGCTAGGATGTGAATCTTTGGCTCCAGTAATGTGCACCACTATGTTATGCATCAGAATTGACACTATATAAAAGAAGAATTCAAGATAGAAAGTGCGTTCGAGGCTGTAGTGGTTGTTATATTGTTTCTAGGCAGATACACCTTATCATTCTGTCTTCATATGTCCAATAGTACTGCCCTGGAGAAACAGTTTAATAGGGAGTTTGGATGCTTGGACATATATATCACTGCTGCCACCTAAATGCTAATCTCTTTGCTGTATTTTTCCACTAATAACAAGTGATCGCTACTGCTGAATACCTAGAATCATCGATGGGTGGATGACAGCAACTAGTGCTCACTCAGGACTTAGAAATGACTGTCGCTGCCTTCCAACTTTTAAATACAGCACTTGATGGAGATATAAAAATTTGTACACTATGTCACCAGATCTCAAAAGAGCTAGTCAAAAAGGCAAGTATGGTTGCCCTAGTTCTCTTTCTTGGTATTAGGCTATGTAACTGAATTCAGGATGGGCATGAAATCCCATGAGGTATGCCCACAGGTAGGTGGACCAACAGAAATGAAGAGCGTCTACAAAGCAGGTGCCAGGAACGCTCCGGCACTGCTGATGTCAGCTCCTCTTCTAAGAAGGGCACCATGTGTGTATCCTGAACCCCAAAGGAAGAACAGCCAGTCCTTGGTGAAGTTACTCATGACTGGATCAGAGTTCAAATCATTACATTTCGGAGGCTTCCATCCCTGAAGACAGAAATGGGATGAAGTGGGGGTGTACAGAAGAGGAAGTGAGAATGAGGTGACCCTGGCGCAGAAGGGCACAGCAGTCCTTACGTTCACTCGCTGGTGTAGTTCTGCCTTGGTTTCCTCGTCCTCCCACAGGTCTTCGGGAACAGAGTTGAAATCAGCCTGCCACTGAGCTACAAACTCTTGCTTGTGATCTGGACGCCTGAGAAATTCCTGGAAACTGGTTCTGTAAGTAAGGAAGAGAATGAGATTTATCTTTGTCCTACCTAATCATGACAAAATTCTGACCTTGGGGACTTTACTCACCTAGTATCATATAAATAAGAAAGGATAGTGTGTTGGTTGTCTCTAAGATATCGAAGTACTGTTTTGACGTGGTTTATGTAGGACTTCTCTATTAGTTCCCAGTAAGGTAGTAAAAATGACGGTAGTTCCTGTTCAACAGTAAAGCATTGAAATCAGTGCTTAAAAATGAAAAATCCTGTGACTAGCTGAGTCAAAAGAACACTAACCATCAAGATCAAGTACCACCTGCAAATACCGGAGCACACCTTCTAAAGTGCCTTAGTCCTTTTCTGTCTCCAGGAGATAATTCCTGCGTGTCTCAGTACAGACATCATTCCTTCCAGAAATGCTCCTTTGACCCAAGCCGTTTGCTAAGTTATCCTCAGATCTTCTGAGGCTCTGCCTCAGCATCCTGAACTCAGGTGTTATAATACTGGCAACATAAATTACGTTGTCTGTGCTTTATTCTAGAATACCTGCCCCACTGAGGCAGAAATTTTCTTGATCAGCACTCTACTGTCTTTCTCTGTATATCACATGGTATACTGGACCTGGGAAGTTCTTAAAGATTATTGAATGAATGAAAGGATTGATTTATTACATTCCGTCTCATCTTTGTGTGATGTATTAATGATAGACTTGTGAACAAGGTTCCAGTTTCTTTCCTTGAGATTCATCTGCTTCCTACAAGAGTTCATCCCAAGATTTATGTATGTGAGCTTGTATCTGTCTCAATATTAACGACTTTTATTTTAGTTTTTGTCCTATACAGTGTTATTTGTCTTGAGTGATCCCAAGGTATAAGATTTGGGTATTTTTCTTCATCACTCCCCACCCAATACCCAATAATGACTATATTTTGTTCCCCCAAACACCTGTTCTGTTTCTCTCACAAACTCAGAACATTTTGATAATGGATGTGGGGTCTCTCTCCCTGTTTCTCTGTGTGTATTTAAAGTAGCTTCTTCTGGACTAAGTGATACCCATTACATATGAGTATGCATACATACATATATACAAACAAACATACATATATGCATGCATATATTATTGTACCATTTAAATGTTTCATCTTTAAATATTTCCAAATTTACCCATAATACTAGTTAATCATTTCTTTAGAAACCTGTCCCTCACTTTGGTACTGGAGTTGGAATCTAGGGTTTTCTGCACTCATCAATGAGCTGCAACTCCAGGCTCCTCTCAGTGTTTTGATAAATTTATACACAACCCTGACTCCAGAAGGATTGTTAGATGTTGTAAATATGGCAAATTTCATATACATAGGGTAAATCATCCTATCATTTTGATGAGAAGGTGCCATACCTCAGGTATAGGCTCTGTCACATAGACCCATTCTTCCGATCCCGGCTTAGGTGGTGGTGGGGCTGTTGGTGTGGGTGATGTTTCGGCAGAGCCAGCAGGTGACTTCTTTACTGGTATTTTGCCTCCTGGTGTTTTCCCTTTAGGAGAAACTTAGACATGCATATTAAATCATTCCAGTACATGTAGGTGAATGGGATAGCTTTCTGAGGATGACAAAGTCTATGATTGTTATGAGATCCAGGCCACTCACTGGCTACTCTTTTAGCTTCTTTAGGCAGTTTTTCCAGCTCAAAGACATAGAACAAACGCCTCATTGGCCATGATCCCTGCATTAGCGTATATACTACTCTCATGCTTTGCTTTCCTAGTTAAAGGAATCCAACATCTCGAATCTGTCTGGCTATTGTAACTTTCAGTATTTTAATTTCAGTCATGTCTTGCTTCTCTAATTCATGTGTAGCTTTTGTAAAATTTAGACTTTACCACAAAGTGTGTTTAATTTCCTGTTGTAAAAACTGGCAATTGAGTTCTTCATACCAAATGAAAGAAAGAGTGCCTAGAAAATAAATGGTGTGTGTGTGTGTGTGTGTGTGTGTGTGTGTGTCCCTTGGGACCCAGAGCAGAAGTTGGAGAAGGATCATATGTAAGGGTTATCCTGAGAAGGTAAGGCCACAGATGAGACAGATGAAGGAAGAGGCCACTGATGCCCCCAAACCTTTACATATTTCTGTAGGTTGAAAGGATTTCTGGGGGAAAAACAGGTATTTCTTGCTACAACCAGGCTTTCAATTTAAGCCTCGAAATCAAGAAGAAAGGAAAAGAGGTACTGAGGGAGGAGAAATGGAAGCAAAAATGTGAGAGTAAGGGAATGGAGGAGGAGAAGGGAGGGGGGAGGAAGTAGTCAGTGTTCTAATTTAGGATCTGAACAGGAAATATATTTCTCTTTCCCAAACGCAGAGGGCAGTGCAGATGAGCGACATGGTATCCCTATGTTATGAGCACAGGCACACAGGGAAAGGATCAATATTTGTTTTCTTTATAAGATCACTCTGGCTAAATGTCACCTGTCTTCAGATTAACTGTTGAAAATTGTGCATGTAGTTGAATACAATGTTGAATATAAATGGGGAGCACTTTCTTCCAAATATATTATTCTAATTAGTATAGTTTAGTGATGCTCTTTAGATTATTTTAATTTTATGCTAAATAAAAGCCATAGTTCATAAGCAGAGACGTATTATCAATTATGAGTTTTGGGTTGTTCAGGTGATTTTTCCCTATATAATTAAACCAATATCCTTCAGTCATTCATAAACCTACAGACTAGCTATTCATAATAATATGATGTATTTTCTGTATGATTCTTAACCATTCATTCCGAGCTGTGATAGAGTTCTTTTTTAACCTATTCCAAAAGGAAAGCTGTGCAATTATAAATTGAGGACTAGAAAAGGCTTTTACCCCTTATTTTAAAAAATATTTTGACCATTTAGTGAAAATTAGGAGAGATGGAATTATTTTTTGGATAATATGCTTTGAGACCATATTAAATAGATCTAATATTTATCAATAAAAATGCTGAGAGGAAAATTTTAATGGAAATAAGTGTGTCTACATCTCAATGAGTGAAAAGTTAAATCTAATGAGGAACACCATTTGGTGTTTTTAGGTTTCACAGTGACATCAAGTCTTTGCTATGGCCATTCCTCATGGGTAAAGGGTTTGGGGAAAAACTCCTGTTTAGTACACCATACACATTAATTTTAGGAAAGTTTTGTTTAATAATGAAAACTTGATAAGGCCAGGCAGATATCCATTAAGCCAACATGCTTATAAATGAAAATAATCACAAAGAAAATTTCAATATTCAGGCAGGGTAGTAGATCAGTATGAAAAGTAAACACTTTGGCAAAGATGATATATATATATATGTGTGTGTGTGTGTGTGTGTGTGTGTAGTTCTTAATATTGTAAATTAATACCATTGATACTGAGACTGTATCAATACTATTGAGAATGTAGTATTGAGATATGTATTCAGATGAGCATAATATTTAGAACATTTTGTGATTATTAGCCACTTTGTGACTAAAGATACATTGGCAATTTATGATGGATAATAAAAGCACACATCTCAAGACAATAATATTGGGAATGTACTCCGAAAGATGTCAAGAGTACATATTCATTGCATCTCAATCTTTAATTAATTGTTTGCTGTAGCAACAACAGAAATCTAACTAACATGCTTTAGAGCCTGTATGTTTTCTATTAACTATTTATTATGTACTTAAAAAATAATATTCAGTTTATTTATAACAAATAGATAAAATAAAACAAATAAATGCAACTTAAAACATAAGATCAAAACCAGAAGAAAATGAAGGCAGCCATTGCAGTCTTAGCCCTGGTACAAGTTTTGAGATTCAGGTGCTACTGTGGCTCAAGGTAACATAACAGGAAACAAACAAACAAACAAAACCCCACACTCATTGATGTGCGATTATCCTCTGTTTGCTGTGGATATGTTTTATTACCACTGGTTAAAAAAGAATCTGCTTCAGTCTATGACAGGGCAGAGTAAAGCCAGGCATGAAATCCGAACAGAGATCTATAGAAAGAGTAGGCAGAGTCAGAGAGATGCAATGTAGCTGCTGAAGGAGAAAGATGCCAGAACGCTGGAAACTTAGTGGTAGGCCACAGCCTTGTGGTAATACACAGATTAATAGAAATGTGTTAATTTAAGATATAAGAGTTAGCCAAGAATATGCCTAAGCTATTGGCCAAGCAGTCATGTAATTAATATAGTTTTGTGGGATTATTGGGACTGGGTGGCTAGGAAATGAATGAGCAGTCTCCGACTACAACTCATTATATAACTACTCACTCAACAGAAGGCAACTTTTCATGCTCCTCGATTCAAATGAAATTTTTTTGCTTAGAATCTCATATAGGAGCTATTTGGTGAGAAAATGACATACTTACATTGCAGAAAACGTAATAGCTAGTCATTATTGGCACAATGTAGAGTTTTAGCTCCACTCCTATTCTGTTGTGTTCGAAGGAAAAATGTTGACTTCGTACCCAAAGTGCTTGTTAGTGAATACAATTTACTGAGAGGCCAAAGAGATACAGCAGGACCTTCCTGGGAGCAAAGCTTAGTGCCTAGACAACACCCGTAATATCTACGATGAACGGATACTCCACCTATAGGCAATCACTTCAGTATCTCTTGAAAGTACCACTTTTTTTTTTTTCAGCATAGCCCTGGGTGAGCACTAGGCTGCACATAGTCTGAGGCTGATTTTTTTGGAATGCCCCAAATGATTTCGGAATGCCCCAAGGAAGTAGTCTCAGGATGCAGTGCTCTTCCTTGTGACTGTTTTCACTGAGATACCTAAAGAGTTAGGAGCACCCGGAACAATACCTAACTTTATTGGTGCTACTTTTCCTTTGAATGCAGTCTCACCTTTCTTTCCTTTCACTTCATGTTGAGAGTCTTGCTTACCATGCTGGAGTTCTAAACAAAATTCAACACAAAAATATCATTGGTGACTTACTTCAATAGCCCAGGCTTCTCAATCTCTAAGCAATTAACTCTATTTGTGAACTGCCTCAGATGAATCATTTTTTTCCCCTGTGATTTGAAATCAATCTGAAGACGGACTCTACATTTTCTCTTATTGAGCGAAAATGCCAATTATATTCTATGTTGTCATGCTAACAGGTTTAATCTTAGCTTTAATACTGATATTTAGTGATGGGCTTTCTCATAATCTATAATGGGATTGTGGAGGGGGTAAGGTAAATTGCAAGCCCATTTGAAGCTCAAATTTATTTAAATTTAATGACACAAAATGACCTACATTCAATAAGTTCCCCCAATGCTAGATGACTCAGCAAGTAAAGGTGTTGCCCCTGATAATGCAAGCTTGATAATCTGAGCTCAACACAGAATCTCCAGAAGGGCAGAGAGCGAGAGAAAGAACTGACTCCAGGGTCCACATCTTGTATACCATGCATACGCATGCAACATAATACAGTAATAAATAATAATAAAATGTAAAATATATGAAAACCAGTTCATTAATAAAAATGAAACACTTTGAGGAAGATTTCAATAACTACATCATTTTGATATGACATATCTTTAATCTCCTGTTGGACATGTAATCTATTACCTAGTGACTTATGGATTTCCAATATTACTGACTCTAATTTATACTGCAAAGAATAACTTGGGCATATTTATCTTACATTCCCTAGAACCTACTTAAAAGTTTATTGGGAAGCTGGGAAATGGGACAATATGGAGGTCAGTACTACGTCTCTCAAATGGTAGATGATCATTTAGTCCTTTAAAGAAACAAACTCACGACCCTATGCTGCATTAGTTACCAAAATGCTGACTAATTCCTGTCTCTTAATTTCTGAATATGTACTTTCTTCAGTGAGTAATATGACAGTTTAAATTATTATGATGTAGAGAGCTCATGTTATTCATTTTGTGCATGTTTAGAGTGATAGCTAAAATTTTTGTAAATGCATGTTACTTTCATTTGAATATTTCCTCTCTGACAGCCAAAATACCATAGAAATAACAAGTAAATGACATAGAGGATTACTCTTGAAACATGTTTACTTAAAAGAACTTTTGTAAACATACAGATACCTGACAATGCATCTCATAGGGTGTACATGTTTGGATCAACTAATTGTTTCAAAGAAATAAGATTAATAATTAGAAAAATTTATTATAAAAATATTCTGGGTATCCAAATACACAATTAATTCTGTCTGTTAGTACAGGTGACAGAGACAAACCAAATAAGACACTGGCTTTATAAAGTTTTATTGAAAACTTTTTCTGTTAGAAGTAATGTACTCTTTTCCATTTTAAAGGTTATTTCTAAAATATGTTCTGATATCTCAGTGTGTATGAATGGGTGTGTGTGTGTGTGTGTGTGTGTGTGTGTGTGTGTGCATGATGTAACTCAGGCTGCCCTTAGGCTCACTGTATACCCCAAACTAGCCGTAAACACCTCATTTTCCTTGTATCTTAGCAAATCCTGGGGTTATAGGTTTGCATTACCATGCTCATCCTAAATACTACTGTAAGATAGCAGCATGGATATTATTATTTTATATTGAGAAATTTAATTCTAAGCTAAATGCCAACATTTGATGATAGATTTCAGCATAGACCATTAAAGGGGGTGTAGAAGTTTTTTTTAGTTGAATCCTAAGGAAAGTTGTAGCAAATATGAAATGGTTTTCTGTGTTCTAGAATTGTATTTGGACCAAATCTGATAGGATTAAGTGGACTGTGCCTCCTCTACCCAATTTTCATACTGGTGTAATTATTTTCTTTTCACGGTAACTTTTTCCATGAAAAAACAAAAAAAAATGCTTTGTGTGTGAACGGAATAAGGCAGGTGGAAATGAGCCATTTTATATATTTTTATAAGATAAGGGACTAGTCCTGCCCTTGATGGAAAAAAAGACAGGTACAATTACTCAGTGAAACCAAAACATATTTATTATTCCTCCAATGTACACTAGTCAAGGTTACAACTTTAAAATAGAAAATAAATCCTCCAGAAACTTAATATTAAAGTTAACTACTGGACTGTGTCAGAATCAGAAAGGTCAGAGATTGGTACCAAGGAAGGCAGAGTTTTACACCAATGTTCTGATAATAAGAAAGCTCAAAAGACCATGGTGGAGAGTTCTCCAGCACTTGAGAAGATACCTTCTCAGTAAATCACATTGTAAAGGGTGGAAGTTTTCTTCTAGACCTTTAAGTTAAAGTTTATAATTTTAATTATATGTGTCTGTGTCCTTACAGTGCACTGTCTTATGCTAAAAGCATTTTTAATATTTACATATCTTGCATTTAGTTAAACCCAGATAAGTTTAGGCAAAATCGTCTTTAAAATATCATTATCTGTGTTGCTTAAAATAACTTCAATCATTTGAAACAAAATTTGTACCTTTGTCTCAAAATTTTTGTTTACTATGATTAAATTTAATTTTGTAAAGAATTACAGATTTCTATCAAATCTCAATGCAGTGAAAATGTTATTAGAGTCAGTTATGACGCACCAAGAACAAGCACTGAGCTAGACAACTGAACAGTGAACCGCTTGTGAATCCACATCACATGACAAACTGATATTGGTATCATACAAATATCACTTTTTAAGCACACAAATTTTGTCCTGCTCATTTTGTCATTTGATGTTAAATTTACAGACCTAGTGGCTAAGAATCTAGAACAAACTACTTACTCTAAAATGTATTTCGACAAGGCTCTTTTTCTACGCACATCTAAGTTTAGTGGGGTGTCAGGTAAGCATGTGTGTGTGTGTGTGTGTGTGTGTGTGTGTGTGTGTGTGTGTGTACCACCATAAGCATGTGTACATTAACTTCTGAGACCTGGTTCTTTATTTCCACTACAGGCATGTTGGGTGCAACTGAGGTGACCTTACCCACCGAGATACCTCATTGGTTCTACCAGTATCCTTTATATAATCACCTAACCAAATATCTCTGGCTATACACACATTCAGGTGTCTAATTAACATTGTTTGTAGGGATATGAGAATATCCTGTCTGGCTGGATGTGGTGGTGTATACCTTTAATTCCAGCACTAGGGAGGTAGAGACAGGCAGATCTCTGTGAGTTCGAGGATAGTCAGGTCTACAGAGTGAGTTCCAGGCCAAGCTCCAAAGATACACAAAAAACCTGCCTCAAAACAAACAAACAAACAAACAAACAAAAGAAGAAAAAAGAAAAAAAAAGAATATCCTGACTGTACTAATTCCCATTTTTTTCCCAAATGTTCTCACTTTTTACAAGAATACAGTTCTGTAACTCAGCAAACAGCTCTTTCCTCTTCCTGTTCTAAAGCCTTCCTTTTGCTCTACAGCCTTCCTCTTCCTGCCCCACTTCTGAGCTCAGTAGCTAGCGTGAGTGGGGTGACTCCACGTGCCCTGTGGAAGAGGTGAGACACCATTCTAAAGAAACATTTTTGCTTTTCCTCGAAGGAGGATGTAGTCAGTGGTAGAGCATGTACTCTGCCTATCAGGGACCTGGCAGTGTCCCTAACACCACAGATATCAAGATTACAAAAAGGTATTTGTTTCAAATGATTGAAGTCACCAAAGTGGGAATCTAGCTAAGTAGCCTGGAGCTGTAGTTCATCATTCTTTTCTCTGTGAAAATAAGAAACTGACAAACAGGGTTATAATCAGTTTGTCAGTCACCTGCGGGTGTCTTTCCTTTCCCAGGAGAAAGTTTTGATGGCTCACGATGAAGATGCATCTCCTTGTCCTTTTCTGCTTCAGAGGGAAGGGGAGGACTGGCGGTCGGAGCCTCAGCTCCATAGGCTGCTGCCTTCTTCTCGGCTTCTTTTTCTTCTAGTTTCTTTTCAACTTCAGAAGAATGATAGAAATGAACCTGCATTAGGGGTTCTAGGTACCTACTATTTCATTAACTAAAAAATATAAAAATTATTATAAAATTATAATTAGCAAAATTATTGCAGCATATTATATTTGCTTTAAAATCACAACAAATATACTTACTGTACCTAACATTCATATTTTGGGCTCTTCTTTATTCTTTTGCCTTATAGTTATGGCTATGAAATGATGACGGGATGGGTGTGATTGAATGTGTGTGTGTGTGTGTGTGTGTGTGTTTAGAAAGCTGGGGAGCTGATGTCAAATGTCAAAATAAAAAATATAAAAGTGGAAAAATAAAAGATGAATTAAAATGATCTAGAAGAGCAAAGAAAGAAGTGCATAGGAAGAGAGCAATCATGAGAGGCACTGAATGCCTGTAATCTCAGGTGACAGGAGCCTCACCTAAAGCTGGAAGCCAGCCTGGCTTACACAGTGAGTTCCATATCATCTTTGAATCTCAATAAATGAAAGACAAACAAAAGGTTAAAGCAATGTGATTTAAAATGTGGGGGTTTGGGTGTAAATGGGATATTCCCTGGTAAGTCTACCTCATGTCAATGGATGATCACACATCTGAGAATATACAGACAGCGGTAACTGGATTCACTGAGTTAAAAAAAATAATGATGACCAAAAAGTTGTTTGGGGTATCTGAATGTTGGTGGATTTGTGAGAAGATGGGGAATGTGTGAATATTATGAAGACACAATGTATACTATTCAATATATGCATGCATATACACATATAATTACCTTTTATCTTTTTATTTGCTATTTCATTAGCAAAAAATTCTTTTACTCTCTGACATAAAGTCCCTTCGTCTATTTCTGCATTTATTTTTGTCAAAATATTTTGTGGCTCTGTAAACCACTCTTCCAGCAATGGCCAGTTGTCCAAGAAGCCAACAATTCTGCAAAATAAGGATCTTATAAGAATATGTGATACTGATTTAAATGACTGCATAAAGAAACATTAAACATGGCATTTAGTGTGATCTATTTGTCAATTCATGATGAAGAAGAAGACTAACAAATTCAACTCAAAAAAGCAACTTTATGAAATCTATAGATGATAGAGCAATAGTAAATGTAAAGATCTTGTCTGACGGCATCGCGAGATAATTTTTATAATTTGAGAAGTAGGAGAGAAAAGGATTTGAAAATGGTACCCATTCAGTAAGCATTTGATGTAAGAACAGATCTCTGTTTAAAAACCAGACAGTATCACGTACACTAACGGTGGAAGTCGGAGGACTCTTCTAATGGTCCCACAGCACCCATGATCAGACCGTAGAATGTTTTTTCTTGGACACACGAAGTGAAAGTTCTTTGTAGAGAGAGATGGCACAGACTAATTTACTAAAAACTTTTCTTGAATCATTTTTTTTCTTCCTAGGGCGTAGTCAGCTTCATGTAGCTCAAATTACACATCCTGTCTCATTTCTTATTTTTAGATCTCTCAGGCTTTCATGAAATTGCCTAATTTTGCCTGCATTTTCTTTTCCAAAGGAAAATTACACACAATTCAAAGAACACCGTGTAACTTCATTTTAGTATAACGAAAGGGCTACTACAAACTTTCCCAGTCTGACTCACTGCTCTTTGAAATTCCATAATCTTCAATGGTATTTTCTAAGTGTTTGCTGAATTTGATATAATTAACTTGTAAATATTTTCTGATTGGTTTCCTTCTTCAGACTATAGCTACTGTGGTTTCCACCACAAAAGCTTCCATATAAATATTTCACTCAATGCAAAAACCTATTTCAATATAAATATTTCACTCAATGCAAACAAAAAAAAGGACTCAATGGTAGGGAGTATGTCTTTTTCATAGATCTTATTATTCCAAAGTCACCATTTGTTAGCGTCTTTGAATGGAAAGGAATAGAAAGGACACAAAGCTTAAAACTGACCTATGGTGTATCTGGTCTCGTAAGTTATTGTCTCCATCTCTTTCTTGGGATGTAGAAACTTCTTGTTGAGCAATGTTTTCATGAGAAATTTCACGTGAGAGTTCCTTGGCTATGGTACAAAAAATAATTAGACAATCAAAAAAAATTAAAATGCTACTTATTAGCAAAACACACTTGCAAGATTCTAAGTAGATATAGCTGTATTTTGGTCTAATGTTACTTTAGTGTCTTTTAATTTCTTAAATAGAATATATTTGTATTTATATTCTTTCCTTTCCCCAACTCATTACATATTATCCTTCATCACTTTACCTACCCAACTTCTATTTATTTTTTTAAAATAAAAAATAAAGGCCAAAATAAATTTGCAATAAGACAAATAATACTGACAAAACAAAACAAAAGATATATGCCCAAAAATGTGTGCGTGTGCATGTGTGCTCATACACACACACTAATAAATGAATAAAAGACACAAGCAAAATTAACGAAGAAAAAAATGACATATCATGCCATCTTCCCTCTCAGTTGAAGTCTCCACCAGGATGTCACTATATTCTGATTCAGGAACATTCCCAGCTCTCTGAGGACTCTGCCTATATTGCGCTGTCTTCTCTGTCTTAGCTGACACTACTGAGGTTCAGTGTGAATGGTTCATCATTTCTTCTCTCTGAATTTCATCATAAAATATTCTGGCCTCCTAGATGCAGTGGAACATTTTCCAGCTCTGATCAGACCACTCCCGATAGTTCATATAATTTACTCCAGGACTGCCCAGGTTTTTATTTTAGGATGGACTATGTAAGAGCAGAGCAAACCCTTTATTCCAGAAAACCCCTGTCTAAAATGTTCGATTTAACAACATGAAAAGATAAGAATGAGAAAGGATGGATTGTCATGGATAACAAACTTGGAGAAAGAAAATCAGAATTTGGAAGTAAAACTTGGAGTAAAATAAGGTGACCATAAAGAGAAATATACATAAAACTATTTTCTGATACCATACTATAAAACTGGAAATATCTTTGCCTCTTTCCAGAATTATGAAGTGAATTGAGAATAAGCATAAAGAAATTGATGATATGAAACCAAAACAATTTAAGTAAAACAATTTCAGCAACTCTCATTGAGTTTCATTCAAAACACAATATACTTATCAACAGGGAATAAATAGAAAAATAGCAAAGAAGAAAGAAAGCCTTGAGCTAGACTAAAAGAAATTAGAATTAAAGCAAAGCAGCAATGGAATGTGATTTAATAGCATTCTAGAAAATGGAAGACCTCATAAATAAAGTAATATTTTTCTTCCTATCTATATTAATGATAAAATAAGATGACAAGATGAAATGGATTTGAAATATAAAATCATGGTTGATTTTCATTGTTGTTGTTATAAAACTTACTATATCCAAAGCCAAGAAAGAATGCCTTGGACTAGATTAAAAGGAATAAGAATTGCTCAGAGCAAAAGAGCACAAAAGAGGAAATTAACAGCATTCAAGGCAATCAAGGCCCCTCACAGTGTACAGCAATCAACTGTTTCCCATCTACAGGATGGATGACGGAAAGAAAAATGTGAACACTTTCTGAAGAGATACTATTGTCACTGTCTTGTGGTCCATACCTCACATGTGCTGAGGATTTCTGCACATGAATTAGATCTCTCTTTCTTCTTCCTACCTCCTCTCTCCTCTATCTCTGTCTCATATTCAGGTATTGTCCCTCTTTCCTTTTATTTTCAACACTCACTACCATTGCTCCAGTATTTTTTGTGGCCCTGGATGATCCATCTTTGTGATCTTAAATACTAAGATTCCCAGTGCAAACTTTTATCCTAATAGGACTCCTATATAGCATGTGGAGCTCTTCAACCGTGTCCAGTTCCAAAATCCCTACATTTGCCCTACGTACTGGCCGCCATTGTCTTTTCTTTATTTCTCTTTCTTTCTTTCTTTCTTTCTTTCTTTCTTTCTTTCTTTTTTTGATTTTCGAGACAGGGTTTCTCCGTAGCTTTTGGTTCCTGTCCTGGAACTAGCTCTGTAGACCAGGTTGGCCTTGAACTCAGAGATCTGCCTGCCTCTGCCTCCCGAGTGCTGGGATTAAAGGCGTCTGCCATCATTGCTCAGCTTTTTTTTTTTTTATTTTCGAGAAAGGATCTTGTCTTTATTTCTAACAAGGCTGAAGACTTCAACTTCTCTCTCTGTCTAACAGCTTTAATTTCTCTGTTTTACTATACTGGTCTTGGTTGATTATCATCTGTCCTTCTATCACTACTGTTTTTTTTTTTTTTTTGATAAAATACTCTAACAGAAAGCAACTCAGGGGAGAAGGGTTTTAGTTCAAAATTCCAGGTTATAGTTCATTGCTGTGGGTAATTCAAGGCAGAAACCCAGTATTAATCATACCCATAGTTAAGAGCAGAGACAAATAACTGCCCACAATTCCAGGTTATATTCTATTACTGTGTAGAACTCAAGGCCCTCATTGTGACTCTCTTTCCAGGTGAGTCTACGTTGGGGCAAGTCAAGAATTTAAACTAACCACCTTATCATTTCTGTTCCCAGAGTTAAACTATAGTAGGTATTTTTAAATTAAAAAAAAATAAGAAAAGAAAAGATAGCTTTGTCTTCAAAACTCATTACCAGTAAGAAAATAATCTGGCTAACTCTGTGTCCGTCCCTCTAAGAGAGAAGATGGAGAACGGGAAGGTAAAAGAGAACACATCCTAAGACAAAACCTAAAGTATTCTGACTCTATGCTCTTCCCCTTTCAGAGAAATGCTTCTAGCAAGTTATCTTCACTTACCCTCTCTACAGCCTGGTCTCTATTTCCAATTTCAACCCTCTGCAATCCACCTTTTTCCTTGCTACCACTAATGAAGCATCTTTCATTGCAGTCATCAAAAATGTCAAAGCTAATGGGCATTTCTCCATTCTTATCTCACATTATTTTTCTGTAACAAGTACAGGAAGACCTCAGCTTACAGGGATTTCATAATTTTATATTCATATGGCTATTTTTATATTAACAATATACTACATGATGTAGGATTGAAATTTTTATTATTTGTTCCAGATTACATAAAGTACATAAAGACTGGATTCAATTTCAACAATGTTACTCTACACTTTGGACTGATTTTTAATTGCAAAATTTTAATTTTATTAGACCTGCAAATGGGAAATGATAACAAAATATATAGCTTAATGAAATCATAAACTGAAAATATTCAGGATTTAGACTAACAACAATTATCAGTTTTGGAAGTCTATTACATATTTTTGCAATTACTATTAGCCTCAAAGGTTTACTATCCTCAGCCTGAGCTGGAAACCCTTCAACAATTCTTCCTACCTTATGAAAGTCACTACTCTCTCACGTAGTCAAGGTCATGACCTCACTCAACAGCTAAAATATTCCCCTACTCTTCCACTCTGATGCAGGTACCCTGCAATGGTTATTCCTTCTCCCTGTGTCTCCTTGATTTCCTACCTATTATCTTTGAGCCCTGGCTGAATTGATGTACATTTGCTGCCTACCTGCCTTTGGCTATAGTATGCCTCCCTATAATATGGTTCATTGGTCCTTTCTATGGACCACAGTCATCATAAGACAATGTGTTGAGCCCATTCTTAGTGACTATGCTCCCATATCCCGGCAAATTCCTACTATTCTAGGGAGAAGAATGGCTAACAATTTAGTCCTAAATAATTGTCTTTCCATTCCTTATGAAACATTATCCTTCCTTGGAGTTCTTCCTCTTCATTAGATGCTACCTCTGAACACTTCCCCTTTCCCCATCACCTTATAATATTCTAGGAAGTCAACATGTATCTTTCTTTTTTACTACATTCTTCTAAGGTGAGTTTCTATTTTTAAAACCCCTACCTTTAGTGTTCATTTCTCACTTTTATGTCCATTTATATAATATCTTTTGTAATGTCTAAGTTTATATCATCTAATTGTCCAACAGGCATTTCAAAAGCATCATGACAAAAAAAGCCCTGCATGTTGTTTTAATGTAATTTTAGCAAATTGGTGAGGTTCAAGAAGGTTAAGGTCAGAGGATCATTGAATCTATGAGTTTAAAACCAGCCTAAGCAATAAGATGAGACCTCGCTTCAGAAAGGAAAAAGTAGATAATAAAATATATTTTAAAACAAAACAACAAAAATCACAATTAATTAAGATTCTCATGTACCTTATAAATGGGAAACTAAGGGTTAGGAATGTGTAATTTTACCTTGGTAAATACTTAATATGTAGAATAAAATAATAATTTCACTTTTATACAGGTCAAATAAAGCACATGTTTTAATAAGAATATTCAACTCCACCAGATGAGTACTTCAAATCATTTCTTCCTGCTCCTTAGAACACACCTAAAAAAGGATGTTGTCAGTTCCTCACATACAACATAGATGCAGTTTCCTCAGCACCATTACTGTATGAACTAGCTACAAACTGCTTCTCCATGTGCACAAATCTCACAAAGGAAACTGTGGCATGGAAAACTGTCAGGTAGACGGAAAGGTTCAGCAAAATGCTTATAGTTGATGTATAAATCGCCCTCAGTCCCAGGTTTGGCTAATATTCAATACTTAGAGTTAAAATAAGGGACAGTGAATGCAGCTGGATAGTTCTTTGAACAACCAATTAAATGGATTCTTCCTTACACTTGTAAATGGAACTATTCACTTAGTCACAGAATTTTTAATTTTTTTTCATATGCTATATTTTGATCATGTTTTCTCCCCTTTCCCTAAGTCCTTTCAGATCCTGTTCACCTTCTGACCCACCCAACTTCGTATTCTCTTACTCTTAAAGGAAACAAAAAACAAAAACAAAACAAAAAAAGAAGCAACAACAACAAAAAACAAAAAGAAAAAAATAGAGTCAAATTTTAAAAGCACTTTTAATTATGAAAAATTGTAAAGATTGAAAAATCAATGCATTCAACTTACCAATGATATCATTCATGCGATCCAGTGATAAGCTATCTGAAATGTCTAATAATATGGCAAAATCGAATGCAGATGGGATAGGAATGACTTCCTTGGAAGGAGTCGGGCCCAAGGCTAGCGTGGGCATTTGTGCTTTTTTTTTCTCTGCCTCCATGAATTTTTTTTTGTAGCCTGTCAGTGCTTCTTCCAGGAGCTGAGCTTGATTTAATGTCATTGGAAACCCATCAATTACCCAGCTTTTGTTAGCGGGTATCTCTCTAAATTCAAACAACACAATTGATTAGCATGTTCATAGGTTCTGTTACCTTACAGAAATTGGTAATGACTACCATTATCTTCATTGCAAATTCATCCCGTTGCATGGACTTCAGGATTTTCTAGCTAAAATATTAGGTTTTCCAATGAGTTCTGATTGCTGACTTGCTTAAAAATCCTTTTGTGGGTCCCTGCTGTCCTCCAAATCTATTGAGAAGCCTTTACATCCTCTTTAAAAGGAAATGACAATGACCTATTTCTCCCAAACTTCTAAACTCTCTCTCTTCACTACTATGCGCATTCACTTGGTATTATTTACACTGTGCTCACAGGCTACACTTCTCCTGTACCTCAAGTTCCTCACGTATACAATGGGGTATTGTAAAATATCTCGCTGGGGTCTGTGTAGATGACAGAAATGACATATTTAATAAATACATTCCGCACACTCTCTTTGCCAACCTGGAGGGGTGTTCTCACCGTACTCACTCCTAAACCAGGCTGATCTTAACTCCTTAGGCTCTCACTAATTTCACCATAGAAATAAATAAGTCTTGACATAAAACTAAAGTCATTCTTTAAAAATTTTATTAATTAAGTTGAGTTATAAATTTCTGAAGTATTCTATCTGAAGGACCATATATTAAGCTTTTCTTTTCGCTGAGCACATTGTCTTCGGTGGACAATGTGCACACTACATCTAAAGGACTTAAGTATCCACTTTGTTCTATTATACCTGCAAAATTTCATTTCCTCTTATATTTTTACTTATATTTTAAGGTATGGCTTTATTTCTTGCTATGCTAGCTCTCAAATGAAACAATAGAATCACCTCGCCAGAAGTTCCTGAGTCTTCTAGTGACAACATGTACTTTTTCTGACAGTGTGGCAGGAAGAAGCAGGAACTAAGTTTCAGAAAGATTTCATTGCTTGCTCAAAAGCACAAAACTGCAAATGGCCTTCTGTCTAATAATTCTCAGCACAGCTCCAAACTTCCTTCTGGAAACTGCCTTTATCTCCTCCACTAGGTTACCGTGAGCAGAAAGAGTGCATTTTACTTTCGTGAGTTCTCCAGAGAGAGATTAAGCCTTCTGCATAGATTAGACTCACTAACTCATTTGCCTAGGACAGAGAAGAGATTTCCTTTAACACTTGACCTCTTCTGAGATCTGCTGTCTCAGAAACCACAACAGAGACAGAACTTGGAGCTACACTTGTTCAAAGCTAGAGTGAGACAGCAGACATCAGGGAGCCGTGGGGCTTGACTTTAGATTTTGTTACATCACTAGCCAGGCACAACTATCTAACTAGAACATCTAGTGCTCCTTTGATCATTGGACTAGACCAAGAGATTTCCAGCTAATGCTAGTCCTCTGGAGGTATCTTAGAGGGAATGGAAACGGTGTTCTGTGGTTGGAGGGTGATCGTTACAGTGCAGTGTGGATCCCTCCAGATCCTCTGAAGCTCAAGTGAAGGACTGCTTGCTGCTTTGCATGTTCATTTGTTCTACAAACAAAGAGCACGGTGGGAAAGTGTACTTTTTGTTAGTTCTGAGAATGTGAGGATAAGAACCCTTCCAGCTCCGAGGGTAGCAGCCTTGAGTTCCAGTTGCTAAATACTTCAGTGAGATGCAGCTTAAATCTTTAAGGCAGTCAATGAGGAAGACATTATAGAGGAACTCATCCCAGATGAAGAGTAAAATCCTCTAAACTCTCCCTCCTCCTGTGTCATAATGGTCCCCATACACCGCAGCTGAGCAAGTCCATTTCTACCATCCAGTTTTTTTCAACAGAGCCTTCTACTCTGTTTTCCCATCATGTGCAGACTCTTTCCTTTATTATACAGACCAACTGGCCTCTTGTAACATACATGGATAACAAAGCAAAGTTGAGGGGAATATATAGAAAGGAATCTGTAGAAGGGAATCTATGGAAAGGATAGAAAGGAATTTATACAAAAGAGGATAAAGGAATTACAATGTGTGGGATCTTTGCAATTTTCCCTTCCTTCCCATCACATATCCTGCCTGTGTTATACATGCATCTTTTGTCTAACCTGTGTACTACTGCCTGTTGCCCTAGTGCTGCTTAGGCTCTGAATCCCTGGACTCTATCCCTGCCCTCTTCCTGAAATGTAACACAAGCGAATGCAGAAACCTGTGCCCATCCCGTTGGAATCTAACAACTTGTCCGTCAGCTTATCTAATTGTCCAATTAGTAGTTGTCTAATTAGTAGTTGATCTACATTTACAACAGATGAAGTCAAGGTTGGTCAGAGAAAAGAGAGTCAATAAGCATGCAAATCTATATACTTTCCCTTTATCCTAGGAATAAAGTTAGACATTAGAAGCATTTGAATACTAAAAGTTGCATCTGTATATTATTTTTCACATATCTTTTTGTGGTTAACAGTATATAAAATGGGGTAGCAAGCTAGCTCAGCCCATGCAAGCATGACAACTGGAGCTCAGATTCTCAAAGTTCATGTAAATGCTGGCTGGGTCTGCGGATCCAACTATAATTTTATCCTCAGAAGTTGGAGATGAGGGGTCTCCAGGTATGTTGGCTAAGGAGTCTAACTTTTATGTGCAGTTCAGAGTTTGAATGTGCAGTTCAGAGTTTGAATGTGCAGTTCAGAGTTCCAAGGGTAAGGTAAGAAAAATGAGACAATTCCAGATGTCAACCTTAGGCCTCAACCATTTGCATATACATTCTCACACACATGCACATAAGTCACATATAAGCACATACGCATTCATATGTAGCAAAAAGAATATATTAAATAGGCAAAAGAAAGGTAACTGCAATACATACTTAATAGCATTTACCATGATGTTAACCAGCAATATGTCTGGAACGCTCTTTCCTTTTTTAAGCAACTGTTCTGATTTTGCACCAAGTTGAGCTCGCAAACTAAGCTGTGGAAGGGAGGTGAAGAAGCATAGGAGAGAACTGATTGAAAAGATGTCTGGAGTTAAAATAATTCAGTAGCGATGCTCCTTAATGAAGATACCGAAGACTTACCACACTTCTGGAGCCAGGGACACATTCAAGGAAAATATGTATCAATTTTGAAACATTTTGTTTGGAGTTCCATTTATTCTAATATCTTCTCCTCTAATTTTCAGCTTCTCTGGCATGCCAAATTTCATCTAGCAATACTTTTAATCATAGTGATTTGGTTCTAATAATTCATATCTATGGGAGAATGCCCTCTATGAAAACACATACCAATATAACTGTCTTTCTGTGAAAACATTCCAGATTTCCAACTCCGTTTTGCTTCTGCCTTGATGAACGCCCTTTCTTGTTCTATCACAAGTTCTCTGTAGAGATTAACTCTTTTGTTTTGTCCAGAATCAATAATTATGACTTTTTTGGGGGTAATTCTGTTTGAGTTGTGCAATATCATTGAACATGGGCTTCCCCAAAGCCTGATCTTCGCTCAGTTACTCAAGTATTTTATATCAAATGAGATTCTAGCTCCACTCAAAGCCATCCCACCCAAGGAGAGTTCAGCATCATACTCTTATGACAGATGTTATAATAACTACTTCTCAAGCTCTTACAGACCAGACTCATTTATCTCCTTTCTGATCTCAGCCTTGGTTAAGCTTGTCGGTCCCCCTGTGACTAGCTATCTATTTATGTTGCTGGAGAGGCTTCCTAAATCGAGTTAGCTAATTCTCCTACCTCTTTAAATGAGTCTAAATCAATTTCTCCAGCAGGCCTATCTTAATCTAATACAGTAACACTTTCTCCTTCCCCTACCCCAAATGTTGCTTTCCTCTACTTTTCAATTTCTCCCAAACATGCTAATATTTTACTATGCTCTTCAGTTCATCGGGTAGTGTTTATAGCTGATTACCTGCCCACCTCTATCAGAATGTGAACTCCAGAAGACCAAAGAACTCTCCCTTTTACTTTTTTTATTGATATATACAAATAATACAGTGCACAGTGAAGACAAAGTTCTTTTGAACTGAATTGTATATGGATTTGGACACTTTAACAAGTCAGTAAGTGTAAATACAGAAATAAAGCCAACATTTCTGTTAGTTCATATTTTAAATGGATAGAGTAAAAGTTATTACGCTTTAGTTATTGCTTTTTTCCTCTCATTAAGTCATCATGTTGATTTCTTAGTTGCAGGCTTTTTATATTTAATCAGTTCTGAAAACTGAATGATAAATTTGTTTGCCATGATGAAATCCATTATACAATAATCAATTGTAATAAAAAAGTAATTGAAACATATGCGATTAATTCTGTCGTTACTCCCTTATATTTTTAATCAATACTCTTTATGAAAATACTACTTTTCTTTAGAAATAATATCAAGTGAATTAAAAAAATCACAGATATACCGTTTTAACCTGATAAAATGCCATAGTATTTTCTACTGCTTTAGATAGAAAAATATTAGAAATACAAACAATATCATCAAAACTCTGATTATTAATCACTTTTCTATCAAACACAATTTAAAATCAAATAGAAGAACATCGTTAATTCATACCATGAGAACATAGTTCAAAAGAGTACAAAATAGGGCATGTTTTAATATAAAAGTAGGCAAGGATTAGATTAAAATACTTACATTTAAAAAACTATCGCTTGGTTTGAGATATTCATCTTCATCAGTCATGACATCTATTAAGAGAAAAGAGGTAAGAACAAAGTGCCAGTATTTACATTTGAAAATCTTGCCAGCGTTAGATTCAGCCATGTTGGATAGACCCAGCAAGGATGCACTGGGAGCCCTGTAGCACGGCTTTGACTTTTAGTCCACAGCCTTTCAGGTCCTGGCCACTGTGTGGCTTGAAGCTTCCCACTTCCTTCCTGGCATGGTCTCAGCTCACAACAAAATTCAAAATATACAACTTCAGTTTCTCCGTTGGTAGACAAACTAGCTTTCTCAAAAAGATCAAAATATTAATTCAGTACATTTATATTTTCCTGGATTGTGAAGTTATGGAGAAGAAATATTCAGAAATTAGAATTAGAGAGGATTCTTAGTTAAATTATATGGGGAAATGTTTTCCAAATATATTTGTAGTTAAGCATCATAATATTAATAGTAAAATAATCTATTAATTGCCAAGATCACTGGAAAGGGGAGCCAAGAATATCAATCAAAATAAATGAAAACGTCAACTTGGAAAATGATCCCAAATCTGTTCGTGATTCTATGGTGACAGCAGATAACAGTGATCGTGCAAGAGGATTTGAACTTTATAATAAAATATAAACAAATTGAAACATACTAAAAACTTAACTAATACACATAGAAAGGTCATTTAATACTTAATTTTTTTCCCTCAGTGATTATACAAATAGTCTGAAGGAATCAGCTCGGATTCCCAAGGAGAGACCTTGTGGTTAGTAAACTCAGTTCTACTGCCATGGTCAAAGATTAAGAACCAGGCCAGTTTGTTGAACAGGGACCCTTGTTTTCATGAGTTGAAGAAAACAGACTCTATATCCTTCCTCCATGCTCAGAACTGTGATATTACTCTCTCTCTCTCTCTCTCTCTCTCTCTCTCTCTCTCTCTCTCTCTCTCATAGGCGAAATGGAAAAACAAACAAACAAAGCAAGATTGCAAGAAAGAGGTGAGTGAACATGAACGTGATGTTTTCTGGTAGCTTTCACATAGGCAAACATTGGCGACTACTTTAAGAAAGGAGGTGGGGTAAAAAGTATTCAATGTCATTTCACCTTCATCCTCTAATGTAGGTATTGACTACCATGCACAGAGAAGGATTCAGGTCCCCGTTGTTCACCATTCCCTCCCCTGAAGCCGTGCTTGTAGTCACATAGATCACTCTCGCTGTTTCTGTATCTGTCTTTGGTGTGCTGCGGTATAAATGACGGATGACGTGTTTGACACATTACTTACTAGCTATATAGGTTTACCTTCTTTTTTGGGTGTCACTTTCCCTGAAACTGCAGGAACTGATAACGCATTTGGATCCTACGGCAAGAAAGCAAACATCTAGTTTTAATATGGCCATGTTTCCCTTCCATTTCCATTTCATGGATTTCGGTTAGCGTTTGAGAACCGACAATTTCACATGCATTAATGATATTAAACTGGGTTGAAATGATGCCTTTCACAGGCAAACCAAATTTGGTGAGCACTGAATTTATATAGAGACCCAGAATTACCTGTGGTATATAATCTTCCAATGGCTCTCGGTGTCTATGTAAAATAAAGCAACTACTGTTTTGGGAAATTAAAAAAGAACAGGGAAAATGTGTGGTTTATAAAGAAAATATTAAAAGAGTAATCCTCAAGCTGTCAGTCATAGCCATAGATAAATAAGAGAGAAAATGTGTGTTATCCATTACTCTGTTGAGTGAAATGAAAGTTTGCTATGATGTCATAGAAGAAAGAGCCAGACAATGAAACAAATTTTCATAACTCGTGATTTACCAGTATTTGTCCTGTAAATGACAATTATTTAGAGTAGACTCTTTGTTAATTGACTCAATAGCAGAGACAATATGAGGTAAGAGAGAGAGCAGTGAACTTTAAGTCTAAGATTCAATAACTTAGCCTTCCACAAGCCTTGAGAAAACTAATCCATCTGTAGGGTCTCTCCTACTCTCTAGAAAAAAAAGGAGAGCTGAACCACATCTTTGATTCTTAAAGCCAGACAATACTCTTCTAACACCTGGCATGTAGGATTCTATTTTTATGAAATAATGTAATAAATTTCACTGTTGATATAAAATAATGAAAATGTGATCCATTTAAGTCACTAGGAGTTGTGCCCCGACCCCGAGTCCAACTGAAATCTATCTTGGCTGGATAGACTCTGGTTGTGGAATAAGTTGATCTAACCAGCTGTTTCCATTTGGCTTCATAGCATTCAAACAGCCTCCTACTGTGAATCTAAAGACCAAGCCATGTGTCCTGTTCTCCCCTTAACCCTATGGGAGGTTCAGCACCTGTCTGATCTATTGTCAAGGGTCAGCTGTATAGTCTCTCACCACATATTGGGAAACTCAGTGTCTCTACTTCCTAACACTGAGTGGTGGAATGCCGGTCTAGGAGTTAGTGATCTTAGCGGCAAATGTAGTCACCCTCTTAACAACTGTCATTCTATATGTGTCTGTGTGCGTGTGTGTGTGTGTGTGTGTGTGTTTATATACATACACATATTCACCTGGCAGCTCCTCCCTCTGAATCATTTTATCTGTTGGCCACAGAACTTAAATGAGCTCACCAATCTTGATGGTCCACCCAAAAATTCAATTTAATGGGAAGAGTTAGGAGGAGAGTGTCTTCTCTTTTGCTTCTTGGACTGTAGAACCGAAACTCTTCACACTTTAAACCTTTACTGGGTGATCTTTAGATTATATCCTGATGCATATCTGCCGTATACCAGAAGAAGAAAATTAAAAGCTCACTTGCCTGTATTTTGCTAATTTCTTTAGGGTCCAACAGAGGTTCTCCTTTGTTTTCTCTCCGAACTGGTCTTAGCCCACTGGCTTGTTCATTGTCATTAAATGCCCGGATAGCTTCATTGACAAGAGTATCAATAGAAAGTACTCGAATAGAAAACTCTAAAGAAAAGACAATTTTATAAATATCTTTGCCTTCTGAGAATTGGCACTATTGCATTTTATTTTATTTTTCACACTCTAACCCTCTTCTCCCTACATCTGTCCCTTGGATTAAGATACTTTTCCCTTGTAATAAAATTCACATTACATGAAATAAATCACTTTAGCTAGTTAAAAGGGTACAACTCAGGGGCACTGAGAAATTCACTCAGCTGGTTGACCATCATGATTATTTTGTTGCAGGAATTTTTGATCACTTCAAAAGTAAATCCCCACCTATTCCCCTAAACCAGGGTACCATAAAACATGAATCATTTTCTATCTGCATGGATTTGTATATTTTGAGATACTTCGCATAAGTTAAACATAACATAAGCCACTTTCTGTGTCTGGTTTCTATTACTTAGCATAATGTTGCCAAGTCTGAACATTTTGAAGCATGTACCAGTACCTCATTCTTGTATATGAAAAATCAGTCACATGATTTTACTACTATAAAATTTTGATGAGAGATATTGTCTAAATGGAGTCTATGGTATGAGTCTTAAGGATGTAGACAGTTGTAGCTATAGTCAGTACAAACGGAATCTACTAAGAAAAAAGAAGGAAACACCTTTTTGTAGATACTTTAGAACAGTAGTTTTGCCACTGAGTGTCTTCCCTAGAAAGCATCCCTTCACAGCATAGGACGGCAATTCAGTTTCTGCGGCATCATCTTGAGAAGGGATCGACTTTTCAATTAATCTTTGAAGCACGTGTCCTAGTATGTGATTGTTGGAGGGTGGAGAGCTGTTAGCCATGTCTTCTGGCAAGGCCCACTCTCCAACCATGTTCTGCAAATATAATGGTCAAACAAAATAAAATTGTTCTCAAAGAGCAGAATGGAAGTATCGACGGCATTGAAATATTAAAATGAAGGTGGGGGCAGGGAGCGTAGAGGGATGGGAAACTGATGTTGGGGTGTATTGTATGGGAGAAGACACTATTTTCAATAAAACTTTTAAAAAGTAAATCCAAGTTGTAATAAATAGAACCTAACCTATACTGTAATTAATTATATTGTAAAAAAACAATAACAATACTACCTTCATATTATAGAATATTAAAGAAAATCTTCACACAGAACATTAAAAAAACTTTTAAAATATTAGTTTTAGAAGTATTTTTTATTAACAGAAAACAATTAATCTGTTTTATATTGTGGCATTTAAATTAGTTTAGAACATCTTTATTGAAACTAAAACAGGAGGTTCATTAATTAAATATTAAAAATAGGAATGAGCACAAGCAAGGAACTCAGGACCGCGAGGGGTGCACCCATACACTGAGACAATGGGGATGTTCTATCGGGAACTCACCAAGGCCAGCTGGCCTGGGTCTGAAAAAGCCTGGGTTAAAACCGGTCTTGCTGAACATAGTGGACAATGAGGACTACTGAGACCTCAAGAACAATGGCAATGGGTTTTTGATCCTACTGTACCTATTGGTTTCGTGGGAGCCTAGGCAGTTTTGTGGATGCTCACTTTACTAGACCTGGATGGAGGTGGGTGGTCCTTGGACTTCCCACAGGGCAGGGAACCCTGATTGCTCTTTGGGCTGACGAGGGAGGGGGACTTGACTGGGGGAGGGGGAGGGAAAGGGGAGGCGGCGGTGGGGAAGAGACAGAAATCTTTAATAAATAAATAAATTAAAATAAAAAAATAAAAAAATAGGAATGAAAGTAATTTTTAACTAGAAGAACCCAAAAAGGAGTAATTATAGACATAAAAGGGAAATAAAATTAGAAGGTAAATCCATGAGGTAATATTTATTAATAAATTCCCAGGACATGATTTATGAAACTCATCTTGCTAATGGCTTGGCACAAAGGTGAAGAACAACGTGTATCTATGTCACCGTGCAATGGAAGGACAGTAGCATCGGACATGAAGGAGACTTGAAAATTATTAACTTCTATGTGAATAAACCTTGAAGCTGAAGTTGTTAGAGAACTCTGTTTAGTAACACAATAATAGCTTAATAGATACATTTTATTTTCTTAATTGAACAGAAATTTATTGTTAAAAATTTAGAATAAAAAGTTCTCCAATGTATTTGTTAATGTTAGTCCTATCCTTACACGCACACACACACACATGCACACTCACATAGACGTGCACACTCATGTACATACACTATAACAAATATAGTTGACAAGAACTTCGTTTTAAAAGAAAATTACAGGGAACCCTGACTGCTCTTTGGGCTGACGAGGGAGGGGGACTTGGTTGGGGGAGGGGGAGGGAAAGGGGAGGCGGCGGTGGGGAAGAGACAGAAATCTTTAATAAATAAATAAAAATTTAAAAAAAAGATTAGGCCAGAAAAGACAGATTGTCAAACTTAAAAAAAATAAAATAAAAATAAAAAAAAAAAAAGAAAATTACAACCAATCACACTGGAAAATGTTTTGTAAAAACCACACATACGATATTAAAATGTTCCCAATAACAATAAGATATGCCACAATACATACAAGCTGTTTGGCACCTTATTTTTATTTGGAATTAGTATTATACAGCCTATATCTCAAACTCAGTTTTTAAAACTCAGTGTGTTGGTACAGTGGTGCAGATATGTCAAGCTTGGCACAATTCCAAAATGTCAAGTCTAAATTTCAAAATGTACTGCTTTTTAATGATGGTCAATTTGATAATCACTTCGGTTATTTCACTTGCCCCAAGAATTTTAACTTAGTTGTCCCTGTCTAAATCATGCTACTAGGAAGAACACAAGGAAGCCACCAGGGAAAAAAACATAAAACATTCTGTTCCCATAAAACCAAAGGGCAAGCAAAGATGACATTTCTTTAGAAAATACAAACCAATTTGTACAAGTCTGAACTGCCTGTCTTTTCCGAATAGGACAGTTCGTTTTTCCAAAAGAAGAGTAAGTATGTTTATCTTGACTGTAAGTGTATGATTTAATTAAAGTTTCCTATTTTCTGGATATGCTTAGGAACTGTGCATTTTGAAAACTCATTGGCTAGATTGAATCCCAAATTTGAGTACTATTTTTCACCTTAGCCTCATGACTGATAAATTGTTCAATAGTAATTGACAAGTCATATTTGGGTATTAAAAACAATTCTTTATTTTGCATTCTTAATATTTCACTGATAATGCACAATCATTCAAAATGACAGATTCTGCCTAAACTCATGCTATCATAAGTATACATTTTTAGACTTATTTTTAATTTTCATTTATGTGTGCATTGTGCTTGTACAGATGTCATAGGACCATGGTGCCAATGGAGGAGAGAAGAGGGTACTGGAACTCATAGAACTGGATTTACAGGTGGTTGGGAGCAACCCAGCATGGGTACTGGAAACAGACTCCTCTTACCACTTTCTCCAATCCCTTTCTAAACATTTGTAAATAAGAAAAAATGTATTGATTATTTGTTGCTTTTTAGGCCATTTTGTAGGGTATTTTGGCAGTGCTTCTAAAACTCTAGTTATGAGTAAACAAACATTTTTTCTAAGTTCTTGACTTTTCTTTTATCACTATTTTTAATATACTATATCTGACAAGGAAATACTTTCCAGAAAACACATTGTCAAGTTTGATAAGTGCTGTGGGTCATGTTCTTAGTCTGGTGCCAGAATTCCTCAGATGACAACACAGGAGATAAAAAAAATCCTTGGAACAAACAAAACTTATCCTTGAGGCAAAGTATTCCTAAGGATTGTTTTAAAATCCAAAGAAATAAACCTATAATTATAATTTAAAATGTCTTCCCACTTCTATATAAATAACATTTTATATTTCTTCTAGGGCTGGGGATATAGCTCTAAGGCAGAGCATTTGCCTAGCACGTGTGAGATCTTAAGTTCAATTCCAAGCAACACACACTAACAAAAAGGAAACTTGTTTTAATTTAATAATGTTGGTTTTGCTAGTCCAGTGCATAACTATCTGCACTATCCAGATTTAAAGGGTGCATGACTGTGCATATTTTGCATCATAAATGATTATGTGCTTCTGTTTTCATTCACTGGATCTGGTTATACTTTTAAGTAGAGAAATGATAATGACTGTATGTAAACTTGCCAGCAAGGAGGTAGCCAAGTAAGAAAACAAGAACGAATTCTCTTATTACAAGTTGAAGTGCTAGATGCCAAAGTTCTGATAATTTTTTAGCTGTGCAGACTTTTGGCCTTTCTAAAGGAAACAGACTCACATGTAAGTTTAATATCTCTGACGCCCATAAAGATTCTGCTTCTCACATGTTCTGTATTTTTGTTGACTTTTCACCTTGAGGCACAATTTAATTGTTGTAAAGATCAAATGAAATAATACTGTATACAAGCCAATAAAACCATTGACGACAAACACCAGAGGAGTTGCCAGGCACTGCTGGAGGCATTTAACAGTAACACATCTTCAAAGACAAATCCCAGTCAGCTTTGCCTTAGTTAGAAAGCGTGCCTCCTCACAAAAGGGTCAAATAAAGCCCTTCTACATCACTGGGTTAGTTACAGATTATGGCCAAACACAATGGAATAGAACATTGACTGTGAAGAGAACAGAATGTTCTGGCTCGGAAAAGAACTGGTCTGACCTATGGAGATAAGCAGAGAGAGATTGGAATAGCACATTGAGCTGGACCACATGAAGGACAGCTTCCACACAAAGACCAGTGAGAAAGGAACAAGGACATAATGAGTAAAAAGGAGATCAGAAAAACTGGAAAACAGGAGAAACTGAAACTAAAGTTGAAAACTGTGACTACAAATGACCTAAAGAGTTAAAGAAGAACCAGAGTATTCTAGCAGATTTTTACGTTTATTACTAATGTAGATGTTATTAAAGCAATGTCATAAGATATAATTCACACCTTCAGATATTGTTACAAATATACACTTTGGGCTGTTAATTTCAAGATACTAATGCCTGTAGTGGGCAAACTAGGTAAGTATCACTTGATACAAATCATTGCTTTAATGGGGGGTGGGGGATGTATTCTACATTATTCCTCTGAATTAGGTAAGCTATCAAATGCATATAGGAATTGCTTAAAATATCTTTATAATTTTTGTAGTGCCTACATAAATGCAATAAGTATCTAGTTTTGAGATGTGTGTGCAAGACCCAAGAGCCATCTCTCCTTGTCAATTCATACCTACTCAAAAACAGATCATAAAACTATAACAGTAAATACTCGCTTCTCTTGGTGAAAAGGTGTAGTTAGTTCACCAGTACAGGTTTTATTAATTGACCCACAATTAGTTTTCCAGAGCCTGATTCTGAATGTCTAGGCTCATGGTCTGCACATACTGTTCTTATCGTCACATAATATGTGGACCTAACACTCAGCTGTGCATCCCAGATTCAAAGTGCTCGTGTGCTTCTTTGTCTTTGGTTGGAGAAACTTCAATGGTTTACTGAGACATCTCTTTCTAATCATTTTTCGTCAGTCTTATCTTTTAAAATTCCTGTAGGCTGATTTTTTGAATCCTTGGACTTTTAAGGATCATTGTGAATATTGACAAATAGCATCTACTTTATGGGCTGAGGTTTATACTTCAAGAACAGATATAGATCTACTTCCTGTTGATTCTGTCCTTGACTATCACGTGGCCTCAGTTACTGACTGCTGTTTCTGTTGAGGTTGCATGCTTTCTCAACAGATTATTTCTCTTCTTTTATAATATAATAGCCACTGATAAAACAAAGTTATGAATATATATGTGTGTCATTTTTATTTCTTAAAACACCTTAAAAATTAAAACTAAGAAGGTTGTTCTTCCTTCCCTATTTTTAATGGAGATATAGTTTATATAAAGTGGGAT